TCTTTTTCTGTTTTGTAAGTTCATTTTTATCATGCCTTTTTAGATTCCATGTACCCCATATCTTTTTTATCTGTTCATCTGTCCATCCTTCTTTCCTTCTGACACCATCTATCCACAAAGTTTGCTTAGCAATATATTGCTGAAGACGATCTCAATTCTGGAGTTTAAAAAACTGAGGTGAGGGGAATAAATTCCCCTTCTTCTCTGAGGTCAGGCCCTCTGGATGCCAAATGTTCCCTGCCTCACCTAAATTCCGGTGGGGCTGCCTTGTCTGAGCCTCAGAGGTCCAGGATGCCTCACGAGCCACACACGTTGTCAGATACAGAGACCTCAGTGCAGGACCAGAGGGAGTCTGTGTGGCCCGTCAGCTCTGATGTGTGCAGGTGGGCAAGAGCCCAGAGGCCCGAGAAGTGCAGGGAGAGGCAGAGAGCTTGGTGTTCACTCTGAAACCCTCACCTCCCCAGCTGCTGGGCAGCAGAGATTTCACGTATTCACATCCCTTCATTCCTCTGGGAATTCTGTACCTGCTTCACTTTTTGTCGTTGTTGTTTAATTAAAAAAAAAAAGTCATCTCTGCCTTGTTCACATGCACTGAGATCCTCAAGGGTGAGGATCCTCAAAGGTGAGATCCTCAAGGAAGGTCTGTACCTTCCGGCTCTACTGAGCCTGGCAAGTCGATGAGGACCCGGAAGGGGGGATGCTGTCTCCCATCACTTTCTCTCTCTGGTGTTCCCTCTGTGCCTGAAGTCCAAGTAACCGAGTCAGCACAGCTCCGACCTTGCTTCTCCACCCTGCTGCCAGGCCCGGTTCCTAAGGCCCCGAGGCTATGCCATGCCCCGCTGCTTGGGAAGCCCCGAGATGAAGCCCAAACTCCCCGTGTCTCATATGAGGCCTCACAGGTAGCTCACTGTGACGCACCCCCAGGCCCCATCTCCTCGCTGCCCCCGAAGGCCCCCTAACTGTGCCCTCCCCGGTCCCCGCCTCGCCTGTCCCGGCTGGCCCTCCCCCCAGGGGCGCCACGCTTCAGCTTGCGCCGTCCTCCCTCTGCACACTGGCTCGCGCGTGCTCTGTCACTCTGCTGTGCGTGAGCTTCCCTAGGGATGGTCTGGAGTGCGGTGGAAGGCTGGTCTGGTCACTGCATCGTGAACTCCTTGGGGCCTACAGCCACGTCTCCCTCGTGTTTGTCTCTCCCAGCGTCCCTGGGCGTCCTGCCCGCGAGGAGCTGTCTATTACAGATGCATGGTCTTTTCGTGGTAGACGGAGGACAAAGCTGCTAGCTGAAACTGCCTTCCCGTGGCTCCTCTTCGGCTTTTCCAGAGCTGCTTCCTTTCAGGGACTTGCTTCCTGTCTTGCAGACTGCCTTCTCCCTGCACCCTTTCCTCTTCCAGCCCTCCATAAGATCACGCAGGGCTGATCTAACAGGTTTTTCCAGCTGGTATGATCTCTCCCGCATCAAAGAAGTGATGTGGTGAGATTGAAGTGCAGCTGAGAGCCCTCGGGAGCTGGTCCAGGCTGAAGTGGACAAGAGGTCTTAGCTCGTCCAGTCGGGTGGCTGTGGGGTCCATCAGAGTTAACCGGACATCTGCCCCCCATGTGTGCACAGCACCCATGGGACTGGTTGCCCAACTAGGGGACAGCAGCCAGGGGCTCCCCTTTGCTGACCGTTGGCCCAGCAGCACTGCCCTGACCAGCCCCCTCCCCTTTGCCCCTTACTCGGCTCCTTCTGCTAATGACCTTTCACCAGGCTCCCTGTTACACTTTTATTCTTTTTTTAAGTTTTCTTTATTTGGCTGCACCAGGTCTTAGCTGTGGCATGCAGGCTCTTTAGCTGTGGCATGGAACTCTTATTAATAGTTGCAGCATGTGGGACCTAATTCCAAGACCAAGGATCAAACCTGGGTCTTCTGCATTGGGAACTCGGACTCTTAGCCACGGGACCACCAGGGAAGTCCCATCCCTGATATGTTTTGGATTCTGTCTGTTTGACTGGCAGATTCCTAAGGGCAGGAACTGGATTTGGAGCTCAAGGAAGTAAAGAGCATGGGCTTTGAAAGCACCGTTTCCTTAACTTTAAAATGGGGGTGATAACCATCTCGATCCTGCAGGCCTGTCTGAGGATTCCGTGGGTGATTGTGGCTGATGCTTGGTGCCTGGAATACACTGGGGACTTGTATATCGGAGTTGCTGTTATTCTGATCATGACTAAGTTGCATGCCCTTGTGGAAGCTCACTGAGGCTTTGTGGGTCAGCCGATGACTGGGACTTCGTGCCCTTTTGACGAGCAAGGCCAGGAGGGAGCAGAGCGGAGGTCTGGTTACACTGGACAGCGCCTCCTCCTCTCCTGCCTGCCTGTGGTCCTGCCCGCCCCCCGGCCCCCCTGCTTCCCCCGTCAGTTGCTGAGGAAATAGTTACTGGCAGGAATCCACGTATAATCGGAAATGAGTGTGTAACAGTCCAGGACAGTGTGAGTTGGGGAGAAGAGAAAGTTGAAAGGAAATTAGAAGGCAGAGAGGGCCAGCCTGGGGGGCCCTGACTTACTCCAAGTGCCCATCCCGAGACTAGTGATGACAGCCCCTGGACAGCACTCAGCGTCCTCAGATGATTCTCACACTGGCCCGCTCCTCTAGGGAGTGGGCTCTGTGAACCCCAATTTAAAGAGGAGGAGATGGTAGCTCAGAAAGGTGAACTACCTGGCCCTGAGCACACACTAAAATCTCAGCTCAGAGTGAAAAACAGGTTTCTCCAGCTGGTATGATCTCTCCCGCACATCAAAGAAGTGATGTGGTGAGAATGAAGTGCAGCTGAGAGCCCTCCGGAGCTGGTCCAGGCTGAAGTGGACAAGAGGCGTTAGCCGGTCCAGCCAGGTGGCCATGGCGTCCATCAGAGTTAACTGGACGTCTGCCGTGCACGTGTGCACAGCACCCATGGGACTGCAGTGCCCAACCAGGGGATGGCAAGTTGCCATGGCTGTGATGCACAGTGGGTTCCGTTTCTGGCCTGCCATGTGAGTGGGGAAGGGGCTTGGGATAGTAGCACCGCTGCTGGTCTCTTCAAAGAAGCTGAGGTGTCCTCAGAACAAGTGGCCGCACCCCGTAATGCCAGCCTGCCTCCAGCCCCGAGATGCAGACTCAGCAGCCTGGGGCCCTGCGGAACATCGTGATGAGGGTCTGGTCAGAATGAACGTCCCCCTTGGCCATAGCCCCCTGGTAGCTCTGTTCCTGCCGGTGGTCTTGGTGATTAAGGCCCTTCTGTCTTCCTGGCTGGAAGGGCAGGAGTGGCACACCTCATACGTTCCCTCCCCCCCAGACCTGGGCGCTCAGCACAGAGCAGGTGTGGAGTAAATGTCTGATGGGATCCAGGGAGGACATGGCACACTCACACCCCAGCCAGCTACCCTAGGCAGCGCCTCCGGACGGCCAGGCGCGGTGTTGGGCGTGGGATATAGGGCAGGGGGTGTTCTGGGGCTCTCTCACCCTCTGGCTGGTGGCGAAAAGAGAGGTGCCCCTCCCCGCGTCTTCTGGTCCTCTCTATTTGCCAACTGGGCAGTGCAGACCTCCGCGCGAGCCCGGGGCGCAGCTGGTGTCTCGCGGTAGGATGCAGGGCTCCTGGATGCTCCCAAGCCCTCGGCCCGAGCGTTCTTGGTGCTGCGCCCTGAGCAGCCGGTAGCCCCTGCGCACCCCGGTGTCACCCTGGGCGAGGAAGGATTCGGAGGGGCAAGGCAGGACCCTACCTGGGCCGTCTACTCTTCTCAGCCGGATGGGGGTCCTGCCCGGAGCGCGGGGCAGGGGTGGGTGGGCGGGTGGGGGGAGCTCGCGCAGCTGCAGGAGCCTCCGGAGCCGCGGGTGCGCGCGCGCGTGCGCGGAGGGGGGCGGGGCGGGCGGCGCGGGTCGCCGGCGCCTTTCCGACACCTCGCGTCTCCCCTGCGGTCCCCCTCTCCCTTCGCGCCCCAGCCAGACCCACGTGTGCAGACGCGCCAGCCTCTGGGTGTGTGTGCAGCCCGCAGACTGTGCGCCCGGCTCGGAAAGGCCCTGTGGACACAGGAGGCGGCAGACAGCTCTCTGTGGCCGCGCTTCTGTCCCCTCCAGTCCTCCCCAGCCCTTTCCTCTGGTTTCCTTGGATCGTGGTTCCTCCAGCCGTTCTCTTCCCCTCCCGCCCCCTTCTCTCCCCTGGAAGAGGCCAGCGCCTTGCGATGAAGGTTCTGGTTCACCCCGGCTCCGGAGCCCTTGACATTTAGCTGGGCTTTCGGCGCACTGGTGTAGGCACCCGGCAGAACGCTAATCCCATTAAAGCCGTGGTGTCATCGGGGAGGGGGGCTGCCCCCCTGCAGGCCTGGCGCTCATTGGCCGAATGCAAGCCAGGGGGCGGGGCCGAGGGCCGGGGAGGGGGCTCCGGCGATTTCGGAGTCGGGAGTCGGGAGTCGGGCCCGGATTTCGCAGGGGGAGCCCAGCGGTGGTTGCAGCTGCGGCGGATCCCTCGTCACTAGCCGCCGCGCGCGCGCCCGGCAGCCCAGGGCCCCGGGGCAGCTCCGCAAAGTCGCGGGGCGAGAGGAGGCGGGCGCTCGCAAAGTGGCCGGGTTGGGCTGACTGAGAGAGGTGTGCCCGGGAGCCCGAGCCCGGCGCCCCGGTGCCTCGCGTGGAGCGGCGGTGCAGCGCCTGGGAGGCGAGCTGACGTTTGGGATCGAGAAATACAATCGCAGCCTCTCCAGAGGCGCTAAGTTACGCCGGCCAGCCGGCGCCCGGGGAGCGTGCGTGCAGCCAAGCCGCGCCGCAGAGCCCTCCCGGGCCGGCCGGTGGGGAGCGGGGCCCTGACTCCCCCACCCCCCACAACCCCTACCCCGGCCCCAGCGCGGAGTCCGGCCGGCGGCGCGCCCGGGGACTGAGCCGGGGCGTGCGAGGCTCCTCCGACCCGCTCGCAGCCCCGCGCCCTTCTCGGGCGCCCCCTCCGTGACACTCCGGGAGCGATGCCCCCCGCCCCCCGCGCCCCCCGGGAGCGACGCGAGCATGGAGAAGTCGAGTAGCGAGGATTCTTCGATCCACCGGAGTCCATCTTTGGACAGCAAGGACTCGGACTTTGCCAAGCCGTCCACCTCGGGCCGCCCGTTCGGCCGCGGCTTCACGGCCGGCGCCTTCTACGGCACCTCTGGCTCCCGCGGCCAGAGCCACGCCGAAGCCGGCGTGAAGACCGACAAGTACAATGCGCCCAAAGGCAGCAAGTACGTGGTGTTTTACCTGGACCTGTCCTTTGTTTTCCTCCTAGAATTTAAGAAGTGCAACATGGCCAGGGGCTGCCTGTGCTGCCTCAAGTACATGATGTTCCTCTTCAATTTGATATTCTGGGTAAGTCCTTCCGAGTGTCTCGCCTGCCTTGGTCTCTCCTCTTTGCTTAAGCACATACCCTCTCCCCCTTCCGAGCAGCATGGCCCTGCTGTCTGCACAGCGGTAAGTGGGTCTTAAAACACAGTTCCCCTCCCTCTCTCACACATCTTTCTCTCTCCTTGGTGGCTGAATGAAGACTGCAACTCTTCCAGGAGAGACTTGTTCTACTCCTAGGAGGCTGCTGAAGTTTGCCGCCGCCTCCTCCACCCCACCCCCATCCCCAAGAAACCGGTGCCTCCAACTGGGTCCTGTGCAGAAATAGGTGTGGGGTCGGAATTTTTAACAGCTGTGACCTTGAGTTGAATTCAGGCAGAAGTGCAGATGGTTTTCCGAGTTTCTTCTTGTATTCCTCCTGCATGTAGGAGAACACAGTCTGCAGCATTTTATGGGCATGAGGTGGGCGAGTGGTGGAGGTCACGTCCCTCCCCCCTCCTTCCAGTGAATCCCAGGAAAAGCTGGGAGGGGGCCCTGTCCCAGGCCAAGGGGGGCTGCTGGCCTGCAGCTCTGCCCGCTGCCCCCCCCTCCAGTTGGGGCTTGCAGGGAGAAGGAGGACGTGGGAGGGTTGCTGCCATCGGGTGGCGGCAGCTGCTTTTGAGGGATTGCAGTGGACTGGGCAGGGAGCGGGCCAGCCATGTGCTCCGGCCCTGGAACCCAGAGACTGGAAGGGACAAAGGGCGTGCCCCATCCTTGGTGAGAGATGATGTTCCAGGGGAGGGGTCAGTGGGTGGGGCAGCTAAGAATTGTTCTTCATCTGCTGTTCTCCTCCCTCCCCTGTGTGCATGAGAAGTATCTATAATAGTTTGGTGAATCTGAAAACTTCTTACATTCATATCTGGTTCTTCCTTCAGCCCAACTTCTGCCTTCGCCTTTCTCCTCCAGAGCCCAGATGTATGTAGTCAGCACAGATGTTTGGCTCTGCCCCAGGGCTGTCCTTCTGCCTCCTGGAGGCTGTCAGCTGCCTATGGTCCAGGAGGAGTCCCCGGGGGTGGTGGGGTGGGCGGGGGAGTCACTCAGTGCAGTGGGTTGGGCGCAGTGTGCTTCGGCGTTCAAGCGTTTGTGTGAACTGACCCACTTGAACTGAAAAACTCTTGTGGGTGTGTAGGGTTGGGCAGGGTGAGTTTTCTCATAGATGCGGAGCCCTCAGCCCAGGGCAGGAAGAAGCCTGGCCTCCGGCCTTGGTTCTGCATTAGCTCTTCGTGTGACCTTGGGCAAATCATTTCATCCCCAAGGACTGGTTTCCTTTGCAGTCCAGTGGGGGTGAGCAGTCGTGATGGTCTCCCTTACAGCCTCACCTCCTTAGTTACAGGACGTCCTGCCTGCTTGCCTTCACTCTGGGGATGGAGCCCCCGTCCCTTCTCTTCCTAGGAACCTGGTCTGAGATGGTCTGAGTAGGATTTCCCCAGACGCCTCCATGGCCTGGGGTCCTCCGGCCACGGCTGTAAGGTGTTACCTGTCCCGTGGTGAGGGGACACTGGGGCAGACCCATGGGAATGTCAGGAATGATTCTGGGGCCGCCTTTGGGCAGCTGCTGCTGGTCCTCTGCTGGTCTGCTAGCATCAGTGTCAGTCAAGCACCCGTGTGTATTTCTCTGGTGCCTATGGATTTGCAGGAATGTGGCCTGTTCACTGGGCATGGCTTCCCTCTCTGCCCTTGTTCATGGTCTCAACCTCCCTTTCTGCCTTTCTGCCCATGCCCCTCTCTTACTAGAAAGACCCTCATGGGATGCTCCCTGCCCTGGCCAGTACCTCCTGCTCAGCTGCACTCCTCCCCACCCCCACCCCGCCACCTTCTGGCTGGAGGAGGTATAACTGCCTCTTCATTTCTCCAGGAATTTAGGGACCTTCGCCCTGCACGTAGAAGGCACCATTAATAGTTATGTGTTTGTGGGTGAATGGACGAAGGATCAGCACACAAAATTCAAACGTGGGGTGGGGGTTCCCACATCCCACTTGATGGGGAAGAGAAATCAGTTCTCAAACTTGTCAGTGGTGCAGGCTCTCCTAGCTGCTTAGCTGTAGGGTGACAAGCGACTTTGAATCCCGAGGAGAATGAGCCGGTCGGTGGAATGGCCTTCCCTTTTGGTTACAGTGAAAAAATTTACTCCTCCTATTAAGAAAGTACCTCCCACCTGTCTTTTACCAGGCAAGAAGTCACTCTCTCCTAGTCTCTGACTTTTCTGGTTACTTTTTATTTTCAGATTTCTCATGACATGCTATAAATTGGGAAAAATTTGGAGTCTCAGAGACCCAGTTCTTTCATGCTAGTAGCATATGAGATGATGACATAAGGCCCAGACTTTAGGAGAGAGGAAATCAGCACAAGAGAAACGGATGCTTGTGTGTGTGTGTGACAGTGGTGGGCACTGCGTTTCTTGGGAGGGGAAGGAGCAGGTGCGGCCAGGATTTGGGCTTGTGGTCCCTGCACTCCAGTGTGGCAGGGGCTTCCTGCAGGAGGTGCTTGGGGGTCCGAAATGGGGGGAGCCGCGAAGGGAAGAACCAAGTCAGGAGAGAAAGAGCCAAGGCGGGTGGGGTTGTTGATGAGGCAGGACCCCTGGAGAGCCCTCCTAGAAAGCACAGCCAGGAGTGAGAGGCTGGGGGCCAGGAGGCGAGCAGTCTGGTCAGAGCCGAGCCCTCGGGGACCCAGAGCAATTGTCAGGAATTGTGTAGCATCCATTCTCTATTCTCCTGGCTCATGTCCCCAAGGGAGGCTTTTCTTTCTAAGGAGGCGTTAGAGTTGAACCTGAGGCCTGCAGTCCATACCTAGAGATCTTCCCATAGATCCTGAAGCTTACCTGGTCCTTCTCCAGACCCGCCTCTTGTTGCTACACCCCCTGTCTCGGGGGAGCCTGCCGGGGAAGAGTCCCGCTGCCAGGAGGGGTGCAGCCTTCTTGCACCACAGCCCCCCTCGCAGGCCTGAGTGGGCTCAGTTCCTGGCCACTGGGTGGAGCTTCTGGGGTGCTGGTATTGGTGAAGGCCGGGGTGACATCACCGGGGGCAGGATAGAGGCGGAGCCCTGGGGCTGGCACCACCTCCTCTCTTCCCCAGGAAAGGGCAGGTGCCTTGCAGGCTGCTGGGCGCCTGCCTGGGTGGAGGAGGGGGTGGTGTTCAGGTCTGCCCCTGGCACCGCAGACTAGAGCCAGCTGGTGCTAGCCAGGTTGGCGCCCGGGGCCGCATTTCTGAGGGCCTGATATAGATGGTGGGGTAGAAGTCAACCTGCCTGAATGAAGCTCATCTCCTCTGGGCCTGCATACACCCTGCCCAGATCCTCAGGGCCAAAGAGAAGGCTGGCTTCGAGGTGGACAGGAAATGAGCTGGGCAGACGTTTCCCCGACCCGTGGGGCCCTTCCGCCAGTCCTCCGGCCACGGCAGTCAGCCCCATCTCACTGGCCTCCCGGGACCATCTAGTGGAGTTCTCCAGACAGAGATCAGGCGCGTCTAAGCCCCTTCAGGAGGGCACAAAAGACTCAGGGCTTTTAACTCTGAGTACAGGGGGAGCTCCGAGTGCTGGGGGCCTCTGTCCCCTTCTCGGGGTGGCACGTTGTGACCCCCGCCCAGTTCCCCCCAACCTGCACTGAGTTCCTATCTTGTATGGAAGGGGGGCTGCTGGTGGTAGAGCTGGGGGTGCTATCATAATTGCTTCTCAGGATCATGGTCACTTTTCACGTGGCTGGCAGAGCTGTCCCATCGCTTTAAATCATGCCTGGCAGAGCAGTGACATTCTGGCCCCTTTGGAAAGTCTGTTCCTTGTGGATTGCTTCCTTAATAAAGGCCAATTAGCCAAGGGTGCCTGCTGGAGCAGGAGGAAGGCTTGTGCAGGGCTGGGTCGGGTGGGGGCGGGCTCCCTGATTAACCTCTCCTATGTGGGGGCAGGGCTTTAGCTTGCCACCGCACCCCCCCCCCCCCCGCAGGCTGTTCACTTGCCCTCTGGGTGTGGGCAGCTTGATCTCAGCTCTCCAGTCACCTCGGGGGCATGTATTCGGTATTGGCTTGGTTGCTAATGGACGCCGTGGCTGCCCCGTGATCCATGCGTCCGGGACAGGGTCTGTGCACAGTGTGGGTAGGGTGGCCTGGGTGTCCTGAGTCTGTGGGCTGCCTTCTCTCAGGGAAGGCAGGGGTGGGCTCTGAGGGGTCAGCACAGAGTCTGAGCAGGACATACAGGCCAAGCTGGGCAGCAGGAGGCATGGAGAGGCCCCCCCCAACCCCGGGGCTCCCAGCCTGCCCCCCACAGGGCAGCTCCACGTGGATCCTCAGGGTGGGTCAGGCGGGGGAGGAGGGCAGAGGCCCGGAGTCCCGGGCACGTGGCCGCTAGGGGATGCCGGCTGTGTTCGCTTCCTTTCCAAAGCATTAAAAATTAAACTTCCTTGTCTTGATATCTATTTTTAAATCATGTCAGAGCCAGCATTGGTGTCAGTCAAGAGGGGGCGGGGAGGAGGAGTGTGGAGAAAAAGAGAGTCCCGCTGAAACAGGGAGAAAGTGCTGTCACCACGGTGGGGAAGGGCCCCAGGCCTGTCCTCCCTCCCGTCCACCGCAGCCCCGGAGGAGCACAGAAAAGGCCACCGGCGCCTCCACAGCCCTCCCCGGAGGACGGAGGACGGAGGACGGGGCCGCGCCCTGCCCTGCCTCCGTGTGCCCGGCTGCCCTTGGCTGAACTTGACGGCGGGCTCACTGGGCTGTGGGGTCTCAATCGAGCCCATGCACTCATGCCGCAACTATTTCCTGAATGCCCGCTGCGTGCGCAGGGGCCTCCAGCGCTGGGGACCGGCTGACTGGGCTTGCACAGGGTGGATCAGCTTTCCCGGCCAGGAAGTCGCGGCTGGAGAGGTCACCTGGCCTGTCCTCCCCCCGGGGCGCTGGGACACTGAGCGCCCCTCACCCTCCCCAGCATTCTGGGCTCGGGCAGCGGTGGCCCTGACTCTGCATGCATCCTGGGAGCCTGACTTGACCTTCTCCTGTGCGGGGTGG